TGATGATTAGTACTTGAGATATCAGTGGAAAAACCGAAAATTTACTAATCATTATGCAAATTAGGTAATTAGTGTCCACGGATTATTACCAAAAACTAATCAAAACCTAGCATTAGTTCAGAGCATCTATGTACCAAGTTTCATCAAAATCCAATGAGTGGTTGTTTAGATATCAGTGGAACAGTCATGGAACCACTAAAAAATAGCTAATTATCATGCAAATTAGGTAATTAATATGCACGGATTTTTACCAAAAATTAATCAAATCTGCGCATATGTTCAGAGCATCTATGTACCAAGTTTCATCAAAATCCAATGAGTGGTTCTTTAGATATCAGTGGAACAGTCATAGAACAGCTAAAAATTAGCTAATTATCATGCAAATTAGGTAATTAACGAGCATGGATTTTTACCAAAACCTAATCAAATCTGCGCATTGGCCCAGAGCATCTATGCACCAAGTTTCATCAAAAACCGATGTATGGTTCTTGAGATAGCAGTGGAACAGTCGGACACACATACACACACACACACATACACACATACACACATACACACATACACACATACACACACACATACAGACACACTAACTGCAAAGACTCCCATTTTGTGCTTCGCACATGGGAGTCAAAAATGAAAAAAAAGAAAAACTGGACTGAGATACAAATCAGTTTTGCAAGTTGGGAAATAAGGTAAACCAGATTGGGGTCGATGATATTCAGTATCAAAGGACTTCTGTGTGTATAATGAGTTTCAAATTGTTCATCGACTGGTCACCAAATATTTACGGCTACAACTAAATGAACACTTTTTTTTCTGAAGCCCAATAAATTATTTCTGCACGTCAAGTGCTATTCGATTTTTTACCAGGCTTGTGGCTCGTTTTTATTCGAAAATATTTTTTTTTGAGAATACTTTTAAAGTACGTATAGATCGAGCTCAGGTCACTGATCGTGATTTAATTTTGAAATTGGATGTAAAATTTTACCAGACCGACGCCACCACAACCATCCAATCATAGTTGGAAATGTACGCACTTGTTTTGGAACTTTGTATCAAGATGGTCGGCGACAACGCCAGGCGGTGTTCGCGTGTTTGCATGTATTAGTAGTCCGGGCATGGGATCGGACTCGGCTACAACTAAACGAAACACAGAAAAATACCACCAAAATGAGGAATCTGAATCTGTTCTCTTACCAGCAAATAAAATGAACGAAAATAAGGTAATTTTATAACACGAACAGTTTCATTTCGTATAGCAAATTGTGTTGTTTCCGAACGACGATTGCATCGTGTGATTTAAATTTATCACGTTTTTCCTTGCAGTCAATATGACACTCGTCACCTTGCAGATTGCAATGTACTTCACATAGTTTTTGGTACCCAATACTCGCAACATTAAATAATTAAACAAGATATCTTTTTAAAATGTCATTTTATTCTTGGTCATATTATTTTATTCCCCTTACCGCTTTGAATTTCAAATCGATTACATATCAAACTTCTGTACATGTGTTTTTTCTCTACTGCCTTTCCATGTGAAAATAATGAGGTCATACTCATGTCACAATACTTTGAAGCTGATGCCATGTTGATGCCATGGGACTGCGAAGCTGAGGCCACGATGATGCCACAAAATAAGAGAGGCGAACACAGCTTCAATTTTCAATGACGCGAAGCTGATGCCACAATGATGCGATGCTGAGGCGACAATGAAGCCATGCGTATGCGACAATGATGCCACAAAAGCCAAAGCTTCCGCAAGAACTGTACTGTATGTTAGGTGATACAATGTATACAAGCTGCATCATTTGTTATCAATCTATCAAAATGCAATCACTTGCAATGTATATGTAATGTGACCATAGGAAAGACATGTAAGATACTTTTCATCTTGATACTATAATAAGACCTGTTAAAAATATTTCAATACTTGTTTCACCTTAAACAAGTCATTAAATGTAAAATCTCCACCATATACATCAACTTCACATGCTGTACTGTGTGTGAATGTATGAGAAGTGTACAAAAATCAGACAACATTGAAAGTGTTTTGATAGTATAAAATAATATAAAAGTTTGTGATTGAGTCAAAGTTGTATTTTTTGTTCCTTTGTATATCATGTACATTCTATAAATGATTTACCCATTGGAGGAATTCGCACCACGAATTTGAAACAAGTGTATTTTACTACCGTGTATAAAACCATACTAGAATCACTATAATAACCGTTGGAATAAGTTTAACAGTTGTCCCATCGCTAGGATATTGCATGTTACCAATACATGTATTTGTAGTATGCCGTTTAGCAGCATTCCATCATCTCAAAGTTATGCCAAGGCAATAATACTATTAGTCATGCATGTACTGGCTCCAGAACTGTCACATAAATACTCAAATGAACCTTGCTGAAATTTACCTGCAATGACACATTTTCCTTTTAGTTGTTATTTCAACAGCCAATAAATTGAAAAATGTAACGTAATTAGGTGGCTAAAATTGTTATAGTAACCGGTAGTTCATTTCAATACAATTCTGAAACAAGAGTCTCTCGGCTGAGATAGCTCTGCTGTTAGCAATGCACATTTCAATTAAAGAACAGAAGATATCATTAGAAAATGAACAATATGCATAGTATCAATGCAATGGGACTTGCTGTTTTCAACAAGAATTCAAAAATATCATTTTTCACCATAAATGATTGTGGTTTTTAACAAGAAGAAAATATCACTTTTTACCACAAATGACAAAAATATTCACCAAAATTAGAGAATTAAAGATATCATTACAAAATGAATAAATCTGAGAGAGATCCACATGTAGTACCTATATATGTAATATCAAAGCAATTGGATTTGTGGTTTTTAACAAGAAGTCGAAAATATCACTTTTTACCAAAAATGACAAAAATATTCACCAAAATTAGAGAATTAAAGATATCATTACAAAATGAATAAATCTGAGAGAGGTCCACATGTAGTACCTATATATGTAATATCAAAGCAATTGGACTTGTGGTTTTTAACAAGAAGTCGAAAATATCATTTTTTACCAAAAATGACAAAAATATTCACCAAAATTAGAGAATTAAAGATATCATTACAAAATGAACAAATCTGAGAGAGGTCCACATGTAGTACCTATATGTGTAATATCAAAGCAATTGAACTTGCGGTTTTTAACAAGAA